TCCTGCCTCAGCCTCTCCGTACGGGGCTCAGGGCATGCGCCACCCCGGCCTGCTGCTTAAGGGCTTCTGGGAAACCGCGAGGCCCGCTGAGCGCTCACCCCAGCCCCGGGGTCACCCCGGAGCCCCACTGCAGGAGCCGGCTCCCCGGCTCCCCCACATTTTAACCGTCCCTGGGGACCCCTCCCCCCCAGATTTCCGCCATGGCCCAAAGGACCTCCCCCCCCCACGTCCCGGTTCGCCCCGCATTAATGACTGGGGGGTGGATGGGCGGGGCGGCTCTCGCCTGTCATCCCAGCGCTCCGGGAGGCCGAGGCAGGAGGGTCCCGAGGCCCAGTTTTGCACTGTTAGGGAGACCTTGTATCGACAGAAAAAAAAACAAAAAAACTTTTTAAAAACGATTTGGTCGGTCTGTAGCTCAAGGCCAAGGCCCTGGGTTCAACTCTCAGTACCGCAAGCAAAACAGTCAGGCAGTAAGTAGACAGCTGACGGACAGATCGACAATAGGCAGAAACGTAGGTAAGTCAGTCGATCAACAGCTCAGCCGGGGAACCAGACGCTTGGGACGGATAGAGAACCTGTGGTCTGGATGCAGAGTGGAATATTACGCAGCCACGAAGAGCAAAAGCCCACTGCGGGCTGTGGGACGGAGGGAGACCTTCGTGTGAGGCGGTTTCTCCTAGAAGAGGAGTCTCAAAGTGGACAAAAACACAAACAGAATCAGAGGAGTGGGGCCCTGCAGGGAGCGACGCGAGTCTGCACGCTCAGAACCTGCATCCAGTCGCCACCGGCTGCACACACCGCACACCGTATTTGAAACCCAGACAGAGCCCGCCCGCACTCTGGGTGGTGTCACGCGGTCCCGACGGACACGTATGCACGGCTGCCTTTTGTTATTTGCACCCAGGGTCTCCCGGTGTGGCCCAGGCTGGCCCTGAAGATGAAGAGATGCTCCTGCCTCAGCCTCCCGAGGGCTGGATCTCAAGTGTGCACCACGACGCCTAGCTGGGAAGAGGGTTCTGGATCCTAGGCCCCGCCTTGGGGAAGTGAGGTGCCTGTCTCCTGCCAGTCACGTGCGCAGTGTGGGGCTTGGGTGGGTGGCGACATCTTGTTTTTCTGCTCCCGGCTCATTGCCGGGCACAGTGCTCCCCAGTCTCACCTGTACCTCAGGCGAAGCAGGAGCCCATCTTGTTCCTGGCTGCATAGTATTCCGCCCCGAATCTTCTCCATCTGCCTGTGTCTCCGTTTCCTGGCTCCTTTGAGAGGCACAGTGATGAACACAGGACGATGGGGTGACTCCGAGGTGCTCATCCCCCCAGGCATCAGAGCTGCGTCTCTCTTCGGAGCCACGTAATAATCCACCACACTGCTCCACCATACTTCCCGAGTCTGACCCAGAACCTAGGGACCCTGGGACATTCCCACATTGGATTGTGCGCCCTGCCGCGGTGTCCCAGTGCCTGGGTCCTTTTCTCAGCTGTTTTGCCTTCTTCCTGGGAGTGCAATTGCTCGACTGTACATAGTAATTCGATCTTTAATGGTTTCGGTTCTTGTGTTTTGGTACCGGGAATTGAACTCGGAACCTTGGGCTTGTAAGCCAGGCGGCGGCACCACTGAGACAAATCATCCCGGACCCAATCTTTAATTTTTTTGAGGAGCCGCCGTACGGCTTTCTCAGGGGCCGCCTGCAGCCCCGGGACGGCAGAGGCAGGAGGATCTTTATACACTGAGCTCAGGCGGCCTCGGCAAGGTCCCCGCCCCGTCCCAGCGACCACGGTCGCTTCCTGTCCCGTCCGGAGCTGCAGGCCCCAGGCCCAGGTGTGGGAGGCACCGGCTCCTCCAGGCCTGGCTCCCGGGCTCCTGGGTCCTCACACACATGTCCCTCTGTGTGGTCCGCGTCCTCCCGGCCTCCTCTCAGAGGGACCCAGGCCTGTGGGGTTGGGGCCACCACGGGGACTCAGTTTACCTCCACGGCTCTTTAAGACTCGGTTTTCACACACAGCCGCAGCCTGAGGTCCCGGGGTCAGAGAGTCGGTCGACAGCCTCAGTGTGCAGCCTGAGCCGCCGGCTGGTGGGGACACCCGTGTCCCTGGTGCAGTGGGGGACACAGAATGCCGTCCCCTCGACGTTCACCTCCACCTCCGCCGCCTCGACGGTCCCCGTGTCACCCCGAGTGTCCCCGCCCACCCCCTCCATTTGGAGCCGGGGTCTCACTGGCGGCTCCGACACCGTCCTGCCCTGCTGCCGCCCGCCGGCCCGGCCTCTCCTGGCTGCTATCACGGCGTCGGATCAGCCACGACGGCTTCCTGCCCGCGGATCACTTCCCCGTCTCCTCTCCGGGCCTCACACGGGGGCGAGGAACCCAGCTGTCGGGAGGAGCCAGGCGGCGGGGACATGGGGACCCGAGTGTGGGCCTGGGTGGCCGCGCTGCTGCTGCTGCTGCTGCTACAGGGGCACCCGACGGACATGGGGGACGAGGGAGCCGGTAAGGGGACCCCGGGGCTATGCGCCGTCCCTGCTCTCGCTCTCTGTTCTTGGGAGATCCTCCTGCCTCAGCCTCCCGAGCGCCTGGTTCCCAGGCCTGTGTCACCACGCTGGGCTGTCGCGCGTGGGGTTTTCACCGTGAGGGTCATACAGGGCGCCCTGGAGGCAAGTTGGCACCCAGGCCACGGCCCCTACCCATCCTCTTTTCACTCATCGGAGGGTGCCGGGAGTTAAACCCAGAAGCGGGACCTTGGAGTGTAGTGTGGCCCCTCCCCATTTATCTTTTACTGGGACCCAGGGTTCTGCGAAGTAGCCCAGGCTGGGCCCGCCTTGAGATCCTCCTGCCTCAGCCTCCTGAGCGCCAGGGTGGTTGGAAATTATTTTTAACCACAAAGGGTCCGGGCCGGTTCTGCTGGGAGCAGGTTCACCTTGTTGGCCCCATCTGGTCTTTCAGCGGCTCTGGCCTTTCAGGGCCACAGCCCAGGGGCCATCCCCAACTCGGGAGGCTGAGGCAGGAGGGTGAGAGTTCCAGAGCCCCTCCCGGGCACGACGTGTTTCCGGGGCAGGGAAGGGGACACAGCCGCGTCTACACCCGCGGACACCTGGGTCTGTGTGTCCCGTCGGAGCCGGGACGCCTGCCACAGATGGGGCGGAGCTGCGGATCCCGCCCAGGGGACCCCAGGGAGAGGGCAACACATGGGGGGAATCGAGGTGGGGTCTCCCTAAGTCGCTAAGCTGCCTCAGCTAGGATTCAAGCGCATATCCTCCTGCCTCAGCCTCCCGAGTGCCGGGATGACCCACTTTGGGCCGAAAGCAGCTTGACTCTTTTTTGCCGGGGTAAACACACACACCCCGCCCGCCTGCGGGCTTAGGCTCAGCCGCTCAGTGCGCGACACCAGCACCCAGCCTGAAGCCTTTTCATCTTACGGAGAGGAAACCCTGGGCCCCTTAAACAAACAACTGGGTTCCTGTCCCGGCTCCACTTTCTGTTTCTATGAATCTGAGTCTTCCGAGAGCTTCAGGGAAAGGAGCCTCTCTCTGCCCTTCTCCTCCTCCTCCCCTGGGGGTCAGACCCACAGCCACACCTTGGCCACTCTGTCCCGACCGATCTGCCCAGGCCGGGCTGCAACCCGGGACCCTCCTGTCCCAGCCTCCCCATGCCCGGATGCCGTGGGCCCTGGGAAGGGGGACAGTGACCCCGAGGGCCGCGAGGCCTCTGAGGCGAGCACCGAGAGGGGCCTGGGGCAGGAGGTGGACAGCTGTGAGGTCACACCCAGCTGTCCACGACCCCGGATCTGAGCCCTCGTCCACATCCAGGAGGCAGAGACGGGCAGGTCTTGGGGGACCAGGAGACATCACGGGGCAGTCGCTGACCCCGGGGTGGGAGGCTGGGGCCAGGGAGGGGAGACGGGCAGGTCCACCCCCGAGGGAGCGGGGACGGTGGGCTCTTCCGGCTGCTGGGTCCCAGACTGGACTGCAGGTGACTGTATGAGACAGGACAGCCTGGTGCGAGGAAGAAGCCCTGAATGCAGCTTGAGGCCCAGACTGCATTTCTCCCGTTGTCCGAGACCCTCCTGCCTCAGCCTCCCGAGGGCCGGGGTGATGGATGTGCTGTGCCTCCTTTCCGTCTTGCCCTACAGGAAGGTCGAATGCTGCGATTTGTACCCTCAGTTTGCCCCGTCGGGGAGCCCCGGACAGAAATAAGACAGAACCGAGGGCCATGTCTGCTCCAGGCTCCTAGCCAGCAGCAAAACCCCGGCAGTGCTGTGCCGATGGGAGCGCACGAGGGCTTCTGTACCGTCCCCACCGAGCAGACCCGAGGCCCCAGAGCCCACCACGGCCCCTCAGCCACTTCCTGCCCTCCTGTTCCCCGACTTCGCCCCCGCCCGGCGGTCTCCTTGGTCCCCTGGGCCCCACTTCTGCTTTAGCAGGGG